AAACAATTAAGCAAAACTAACTATACAGCAATCTCTTCTGAAAGTGAATGCATAGTACACATTGGTAGCACCCCTCCCCAACCTCTAATTTTTTTTAAATGAACAGTAATCTTTCTTCTTTTCCTCATTAATTTAATGGAACCCACAGCTAATACCCAGCTATCAGTACAAGGTACTAAAGCATTCCTAGGAGACCCCAGAGATCTGGTGCTCTATCAGCCTGTCCAATTTGTAGAAGCAAAAAAGTGAGATAAGGGCCCAGTGGGTGTAGCAACATATAAAATGTATGAGGTGTTAGTATGCTACCATTAACTAGGCTCGATGACTTTGGAGAAGCTCTCTTGCCCTCAATTTTTTCAACAGTAAAATAAGGAGAGGTGTGAAGTGTCGGACTCTTCACAGCTAATTTTCTATGGCTTTTGTTAAGGTGGGAAAACAATCGTCTGCTCTGAGAGGACTTTATGGCAAAACAAATGAAAAGAATAAAAGAGCTGTGATTGAAAATCTCCAGAAGTGCTGCTACAACAAAATTAAATCATGGAAAACTAGGCAAGGGGGAAAAACAGACAGTTTCTAGCACCCACCAACAAGCACTTTCCCGGTATGTTTCTGGGCAAGAGAAGAGAGAGATAATGGGGGAATGGTTTGCTTAAACACCAAAGGAAAGAAGCTAACCAACCAGTGAAGCAAACTGATAACATAGGAAGAGATAAAATTATCATCGCATGAGGGCAAAGCACAAACTGACTCACTCTCAAATGGAAAACAAGGCAAATGATTTTTTTTTTTGAAATGTTCTTTTGCAGGCAACCAATTTGTTGCTGGGTCTTACTCTGTGTGCGGATTGTTTCTAGGAGGCCCTGAATAACACTCTCTCAAAAATCATTCAATCTACTGGAAAGTTTCTTCTATTCATCCTTTAGGGCTTTGATACCCTCACCTGGAAATCTATTTATCTTTTTTTGTTTGTTTGTTTTTTAGGATGGTGCTCTGATACCTTCATCTGGAAATCTGGGTTGTTTTTTGTTGTTGTTGTTTTGTCTTTTTGTTCATTTGTTTTTTGTTTTTAGGGTGGGGAGGAGTATATTATATCAGAGATAGCAACCTCCTACAGAGCTTGTGAGAGATCAAATTGAGTGTAAGGTTCAACAAAAAACTGGTTCTGGGTATTTATAATGTCATTTTGAATAATATCATGCAGACCTAGGAAGGTATTTATAGTTGGGCAGGAGAAGGGAGGCAAGAGTAGGATGGGTGAGTCATAAATTATTCTGTTCTATTCAAAGATTATTATAGCACTTTCCCTGTAACACAGAGCATTACAGATAATGACCTTAAAATTTTAACTCATATTCTACTTTTGAGATGGTTTTATCAGTTAACTAGGGGTGATTTCTTTGTCACAGATAAAAAGACAACAGAGAAGGTAATGTGGGACAAGTCTACAGGCCTTCAAACATGCCTGTCCCTCCTATCCTTAAAACATCTTCACTAGCTACATATAAGCAAGGGCAATTTTGAAAGTTAACATACAGGATTTCATGGCTTTTTTTTTTTTTTAAAGTAAGTGTGTGAAACAGATTCATGGTTTCATTCAGAATCCTCTTTTTATGTTTTGCTGTGTGTATGTAAATGATCTTTCTGTATGTTTAAGTTCAGAATAAAAAATAAAATGAAATAACCATCATTAGACTTTTACCATCCCTTCAAGCTATATTTCTCTGCTCTCTTTTTTAACCAAATTTCTAAAAAAAGCTATTTATAATCATTACCTCTACTTCCTCCCCTTTCACTCTATTTAAACTCTTTGTAATCTTTCAAACCTCACTCCTCAACTGAAAGTCTTCCTCCAAAGATACTAATGATCTCTCAATTGCATCATTTGACTTTCTTTTTAATCAGTCTTTATTCTTTACTTTTCTGCATTCTTAACCACCCATATCCTTTCTTCCTGGATACTCTTTCCTCTCTGGGTTTTCCTGACATTGCCCTCTCTTGGTTCTCCTGTTTATCTGATGACTACTTCTCACACTCCTTTGCTGGATCATCATTATTATGCCCTCTAAATATGGGGGCGGGGGGCGGGGGGATACAGGGCATCACTCTCCAAATTTCTCCATTTCCATGTCAAGAAGTCCCTGGAGATGCCTTTGCCCTGTGACCCTCTCTTCTGTTTGGTGAATTCCTGGTCTGGACTCCTATTTCATGAGACATCCAGGCCATGCTCACTTCACTCCTGGTTCTATTCACTTTTCGGACTTCTCCACCCTCCTCTTCATCCTAAACTCCTTCACTTTCCCCTTGTTTTTCACCTCTCCTTTATGTGCTGTCTTCCCCCACTAGAACATAAGCTCCTTGAAGGTAAAGTCTGTCTTTTTTTTTTTTTGCTTGAACTTGTATTACTAGTGCTTAGAGGGGTGCCTGGCCCATAGTAAGTATTGAATAAATCCTCTATACATCCACCTATTTCTTTGTGACCTTATCAGCTCCTATGAGTTTAATTATCATCTCTATGTATGTATACATATATGTATACATCTGATTATATATGTAATTATCATCTCTATGTATGTATACATCTAATCTTCAAGGAGATGATAATTAAACTCATAGGAGCTGATAAGGTCACAAAGAAATAGGTGGATTGGTATCGCCTACTGTACCTTTCAAACTGGATGTCCCATAGATATCTCAATTTCACCAAATCCTCAACTGAACTCATTATCTTTCCTTCCCAGCCAACCTTCCCCACTTTTGTCAAGTGTATGACCATCCTTCTGGTCTCTCAGGGTTTCAACCTTACTTTTATTCTCGGATCCTCAATCTTTCTTACCCCATGTTATCAAGTCAGTTGTCAAAACTTAATTTTTCACCTCCATGTTATCTCTAGCATCTTGACTCATCTTTGTACATACAGACACCATCTTACTTCAGGCATCCATTGCCTTTTGCCTAAACTATTTTAGCTGTTTTTTTTTCTTTGGTTTATTTTGGTCTCCCTTCTTTAAGTTTTGGGAGGGAGTAGTGGTAAAGATAGAAGAGAGTTACTATAATCTGTACAACTGTGGTGACCACAGATAGCAACCCCTAAACAAATTTTTAAAAATGATGAAGTTACTAATGTGGATTATAGGTTATTGAGTTATCGCTCATCTGTCTCTGACACTCCTTGTCCAGGGATTCAATTTGGCAAATGTTTTGTGGGCATGGCACTAGGCGTAGTATTGTTGGAGATTCAAAAGAGATGGAAGAAATAATTTTAGCTCCTGAAAGAGCTGACTGGGAAAATTTTATATCTATATCTATCTATTGGTATATATATATATGTGTGTGTGTGTGTATGTATATATACACATATATGTTTATATATGTGTGTATATGCATATAGATATACATACACACATAGAAAATTATACAAACAAAAAAATTTCCCATATACATATTTATACACACACACATTTATATTTATATCTATATCTATACAGGCACATGGGACACTTAAAGGTTAACTTGAAGGCACCACAGGAAGAAGGGCTGAGAGCACATATGGAGAAGGAGCAATCACAGGACCTGGGTTCCATTCCTTGCTCTACCACTTACTCACTACCTGTGGGACTTTGGAAGAGACCCTCCCTGGTGGTCAGTTTCTTCATCTGTAAAATTAAGAGGCTGGATATGATGATCTCTAAGATGCCTTCCAGATCTATGTCTACCCATCCTAACACTTAGAGCCAGAAGGGACCTTAGAAATCATTTAAGGGGCAGCTAGGTGGCGCAGTGGATAGAGCACCAGCCCTGGAGTCAGGAGGACCTGAGTTCAAATCCGACCTCAGACCAAACACTTGACACACTTACTAGCTGTGTGACCCTGGGCAAGTCACTTAACCCCAACTGCCTAAAAAAAAAAATAAAAAAAGAAATCATTTAACACAATCATTGTTTTACATATGCAGAAACTGAGGCTCAGATAAAAGTCATAAAAGTCAAAGTAGGGATGTTGCTGTTTGGTTGTTTCAGTTGTGTCCAATTCTTCATGACCCTATTTGGGGTTTCCTTGGCAAGATACTGGAGTAGTCTGCCATTTCCTTTTCCACCTCATTTTACAGATGAGGAAACTGAGGCAAAAGGGGTTAAGTGACCTGCCCAGGGTCGCACAGCTAGGAAGTAGATGAGGCCAGATTTGAATTCAGGAAGATGAGTCTTGCTCATTCCAGGCCTGGCACTCTATCCACTCTATCACCTAACTGTCCCTCAAAGTGAGGTAGGGTTAGTTAATAAAAGTTTTCTGAAGGAATTTATTTTTGAAGCAGATATGATAGAAAGTAAGGAGCATGGACAGTTGGAGAGGAGGTCAAACAACACTATAAGAAGGGTAATTAGCAAGGAGGTGAAAATTAGAAGGCTAAATGCAAGTGGCAACAGACTGGTTTGATTATACCACACTGGCCATACTGAGGAGGGAAGAAGAACAGCTGATGGGGTCTCAAACGCTCATGAAACAGCTTATGCTGGATGTGATATGCTGGGAGAGACAATGGGGAAAGGCAACTTGGGGAAGTGAATAGAATCCTGACCTCAGAGTCAGAAAGACCTGGGTTCAAGCCTAAGGTATAACTGCAGTACCCCAGAAGACTTTCAAAGTGGCAAAGAAGGTATTGATTTGCCTTAGTAGAGAGTTTCCTCCATTTATGAAATCACAATTCCAGTGAAAGAGAGACACAAATACACACACAGACAGACAGACACACACACACACACACACACACACACATACACACACACACACCCCTAATGGGAGCTCAAGTGGGTCAATGATGTACTGTATCACTGTAGTGAAATTTAAAAAAAGAAATTCATAGTTTCTTCTCAACATCTTAGATTTGTTGGTCATTAATACCTAACATTTACCAAGGACAAAGTACTGCATTTATTATTTTAATATAATTTTAGAGGCTGGCAATCAGAAGCAGACAAAAATTTCTATGTCAGGACTGACTCACCTCATAGAAGAGCCCTTCAGGGAACTGCTGGAAGCACTGGGCACAGACAAAACACTGCTCATGGTACAGCTCGCCATTGCTGTTCACAATCTTCTCGGCGGGTGCAAAGCCTCCTTTGCAGCGTTCACATAGGGCATTAGCCAGGGCATTTGCCATATTGCTGTAAAAGACAAGAGGGGTGGGGGAGAGAGGACACAGAGACTGTGAGCCTTTTTTCATGCTTAAAGATGCAGAGATAAAATGGAATGTAAAACACGGTCATAAGATTTAGAGCTAGAATCTCCTTCATTTATACTTGGGAAGCTTAGGCCCAGGCAAGTGAAAAGATTTGCCCCAAGTTTTTTGTTGTGGTTCAGTTGTTTCAGGCTCATCATGACCCTGTTTGGGGTTTTCTAGACAAAGATATTGAAATGTTTTGCCATTTACTTCTCTAGCTCATTTTACAGATGAGGAAACTGAAGCAAACAGCGTTGAGTGACTTGCCCAGGGTCACACAGCTAGTAAGTGTCTGAGGCCAGATTTGAACTCAGAAAGAGGAGTTTTCCTGACTCCAGGCCAGGTGCTCTATCCACTGTGTCATCTAGCAGCCCCAAGTTACACAAGCAATATTGCTATACAAGTTATACATAAGCATCAAAAATACTTTTCAGAAAATATCCCCATTACTAATATGTTTAGACTGTAGTATACTTGAATCTATGGTCTCTAATCTCTAGGAATTTACATTAAAAAAATTCAATTCAACAAACATTAAGTGCCAGGGACTGTTAAATGCTGGGGACACAGAGATAAAAAAGAAAACCATTCCTGCTCTCCAGGGTTTTACCTCCTAATGAAGGGATTAAGATAGATAGCAGAGGGGCAGCTAGGTGGTACAGTGGATTCAGTTCTAGCCTAGAGTCAGGAGGACCTAAGTTCAAATCTGGCCTCAGACACTTGACACTTAGTAGCTGTGTGACCCTGGGCAAATCACTTAACCCCAATTGCCTCACAAAAAAAAAAAAAAAAAAAAAGAGGCAACAAAATTAAAAAAAGAAAAGATAACTGAAACACAGATAAATAATAGATAGATAATTAAGTACAAATCCTATACAGGAAGAAATGCAAAATAATCTTGGGAGAGAGAGGACACTCACAACTGGACTAGGAAAGTAGAGTTTCTAAAAAGCTGGCATGAGGAAATATATTCCATGTGTGCAGTACTTCTTCCCTCCCCATCCTACCTCACCCCCCCCCCATTGCATAAAGACATAGAGGTTGTCATGTTAGAAGAACAGCTGGAAGGTCAGCTGGGATGGAATGAAGGACATTCACCAGATGAGTGATATGAATTAAGACTGGAAAACTGGGTGGGAGTCAGACTGTGGGGTGTTTGAAATGCCAGGCTTAGGCTTTTGTATTTTATATCCCAGAAGTAATAGGATGTCGCTGAAGATTTGCTTACCGGTGTTCAATTTCTCTTAATATAAATAGGCAGACAAGTAAAGATAATACCTACTTTGGCACTATGTACAACTAGAAGGGTTAAAAAAAACAAACCCTGAATACTGAGCTATCAAATGAAATCATCTCAAAACTTTCTTTACCCTAATAACAATGCTAATGAGATTCTAAAATGGAGTATTATTGCCAAACAAAACAGGTTATACATGTAGAAATCTTTACTTTAACCCAGGTGGCTCCTTTGTTTGGAAACTGAAAAAGCTACTGCTTAAGTTACTATTTCCATATAGTAACATTATTAGCTTCCCATGTGTTGCTTTAATTCACAACAACAACAAAGTGAGGTAGGTAGTGCTATACCCATTTTGCAGATGCTGAAACTGGTGTGCTTATATTCACCTATTGGAGCCCTCATTCCAACCTAAGTCTTCTGACTTAAGAACAGTGTTCTTTCCTCCCTACCATACCGCCTCTCAATAATAACTTGCATTTATATAGTGCTTTGAGATTTACAAAGCACTTTGCTCACAAGCCCACGACAAAGGCTGTACAAATATTGTCATTTTATTGAAAAGGAGACTGGGGTTCAGGGAAGTTAATCAATTTACCCGTGGGTCCAAATTATTAGACCCAAGATTCAAAACCCATGTCTCCCGACTCCAAGTTCAGGGTTCTGTTTCCTGCACAAGGAAGCCTCTGTACCTAAAGTTTCCAAGAGCCTACTGTTCTATTGTCTAATTGTATTATAACCCCACACTTAAGCACTTTAAAAAATTACAATATACACTGCTATCTTGGAGTCACACAATTTTAGAATAAGAAGCCTAGAGGTATTCTTTTCATTTTATAGGGGGGGAAAAGAGAGTCAAGCGATTTGATCAGGGTTACATAGCTATTTCCCAAACTAGTGCTTTTTTCTCCTATATCTTAACTGTATCATGTTTGAAGGCCTAGGTTCCCGTACCCAGTAAGCCCTTTGTCATCAGGGAGCATGTCTTATACTCTTTGTTTAGAAAAATATTAGGGATAGAGAGAGTATGTGTTGATCAATCAATCTCAAATTCTATCAAACCAAGTACTCCAATGAATCTATAACCTCATCAATTTGGACATTGTCTTCCAATGACACCAATCAAAACCCATCCATACCAGCCCATCTGGTATAACTCTTGGTCTATCTCCTCCTGTAAGTTTGCCACGGGCAATCTACCCGAAGTGCTACAGGTTTGCCTCCACTTTTCCAGACATCTTGAAGAAACCAGTGGAACACTCTTTTTTGATCATACATTTTCCTGATGATATCCTTTCCTCCAGTTTCTTCGAAGTTCCTTATTTGTGACATGTTATAGTTAGCTCACACCCATCATGGACATCGCCACCACTCTCTGTGCATAATCATTTTCAATTCTTTGAAGACTATTGTGCACCATGATTCATTCCTACATGACAACAGCAGTAGGATATTGGTATTAGACAATGGGCCTTTGTTCCTGGGAGAAGTCTGTGGTCATTAAAGAAGCTCTGCAATTTCTTGAAGATAATAGTCTCCTAAACCACACATATACCGGGGGAAAAAAGATGGGGTATCATTATAGTGCTAGCTATGTGACCTTGGGCATGTTATTTTTGTTTCATCTTTTTTTTTTTAAAGAAACTAGGTCTCCCTATCTTGCCCAGGTTGGAAATATAGGTGCTATTCATGGGCCTGATCCCACTACTGATGAGCATGGGACTCTTGACCTGCTCTGTTTTGGAGGTAGGCTGGTTCACCTCTCCTCAGGCAACCTATCACTGTATTTCTTTTTATTTTTTTTTAGGCCATTGGAAGTGACTTGCCCAAGGTCACACAGGTAGTAAGTGTCAAGTGGTTGGTCTGAGGTCAAATTTGAACTCAGGTCCTCCTGACTTCAGGGCCAGTGATCTATCCACTACACTACCTAGCTGCCCCTCCTATCACTGTATTAATGTAGAAGGTGGGGACACAGCTTCCTGTAGCTCAGGATACCACAGTTCAAGAGATCTACCAGCCTCAGGCTCCTCAACAACTGGGCCTGTATCTCCACATCCACCCATTTTATTCTTCTAGGATTTGGGCTTCTCATTTATAACATAAGAAGTCTGGCCTAGATGATCTCAAAGTGATCTTCCATCCCTAGATCCAACATCTAAAGTTAGAGGATCTCTAGTTCTGGACTATCCCAAATCACAAAATCACTCTATTTTGTCTGGACAGGGCTGGTCTTAAGTATTAAGGTGGCTACATTGGCCTCTCTTTAGGGGAGAGGCCTACTCTGCCTCAACAGGGCAATCTTCTGTCTGGTGGTTCTTGCTGCAAGCACTAAATAAGGAATAATCAACAGTCAGACAGAAAGCAACTTTTCACACTGCACTTAAGACACTTACTAGCTAGCCATGTGACTTTGGGCAAGTTAATTAATCTCTGCCTCAGTTTCCTGATCTGTGAAATGGGGATGATGATAATAATAATAATAATAATAATAGCACTTACCTCTAGGGTTACTAGGCAACCTAGTAAATAGAATGACAGGCCTGAAGTCAGGGAGACTCATCTTCCTGAATTCAAATTTGGCCTCAGATACTTACTGTGTGACCCTGGGCAAGTCACTTAACTCTGTTTGCCTCAGTTTCCTCATCTGTCAAATGAGCTGGAGAAGGAAATGGTAAACCACTCCAGTATCTTTGCCAAGAAAAACCCAAATGGGGCCACGAAGAGTTGGACAGGACCGAAACAACTGAACAACCCAAGGTTGTTGTGAGGATCAAATGAAATAATAATTGTAAAGTGCTTAGCACAGTGCCTGGTACAGTATAGGGACTTGATAAATGCTAGCTGTTATTAGCTAATACTTAGAAAGGAATATAGCATGTAACTCCCTATTCCCTTACTTGGAATTTAAAGCTTGAGGGTGAAGGGGGCGAGGGGTGGAGGAGGGTAGGAAGAAGGGAATAAAAACAAAATGAAGGGCTACTTAGTCTATTTCAAAATCTACTGCTACCCATTTTTCTTTTTAAAGGCATCATAATAATAACTTACATTTCTGTAGTCGTTATAAGGTTTGCAAAGTGCTTTCTTTACAATAGCCTTGTGATGTAGGCAGTCCAAGTATTATTATGCCCATTTTACAGAGGAGAAAACTGAGGCTCAGTGAGGCTCACCGTCTTGCCCAAGCTCACGGAGCAAGCCTCAGTCATGACTTCAACCTGATTTTCTGACTCCAACACCAGTACTCTTTACACTATACCACCAAAAGTTAAAATCAAACCCCTCTATTAGCCAAAAAAAGATGAAACATCATTTTCTCCCTCCTATGGAAGCTACATCTTCAAAAAAGTGATAAGAAAAGGAAAAGGGAAAAAAAAAAAGCAGTACAACAAACCAACAAAAACCCCTATATGAACAAAGGACATTTTTCCTAAAAATAATTCAACCAACAGCAGCAACTCAGTTCAACAGACTACAAACCACAATTACAACTGTAATGAAAATAATCTGCCAAAAAATTACCTTGTACTTGTAGGGTTTTATGTTTTCCAAATACCTTTCCCATACACTTATTTAATCTAGTGTTTACTAGTGTTTTAGTCAACCAGAAAATATTTATTAAATGATTCCCAGGGGAATTGCTTAATTCTTATTTCCATTTTATAGATAATAAAGAGGAAGCACAGAAAGGTTAAATAATGTGCCCTAGGTCA